TACTACTACTATTACGACTACTACTACTACTAATACTACTACTAGTACTACTACTACTACTACTACTACTACTACTACTACGCCACTATTACTACGACTACTACTACTACTACTACTACTACTGCTACTACTACTACTACTACTACTACTACTACTACTACTACTACTACTGTTACTACTACTACGACTACTACTACCATACTACGCTACTACTACTACTACTACTACTACTACTACTACACTACTACTACTACTACTACTACTTCTACTACTACTACTACTACTAATACTACTACTACTACTACTACTACTACTACTACTACTACTACTACTACTACTACTACTACTACTACTACTAATAACTACTACGACTACGACTACTAGTAGTACTACTACTACTACTACTACTACTACTACCACTACTACTTTTACCACTACTACTAGTAGTAGTATTACTACTGCTGCTACTACTACTACTACTACTACTACTACTACTACTACTTCGACTACTACTACTACTACGACTACTACTACTACTACTACTACTACGACGACGACGACGACTATTAATACGACGACGATTACTACTACTACTACTACTACTACTACTGCTACGACTACTACTACTACTACTACTACTACTACTACTACTTTTACGAGTATTATTTCTACTACTACTACTACTACTACTACTACTACTACTACTACTACTACTACGACTCCCACTACTACGACTACGACTACGACTACTATTACTACTATTACTAGTATTATCATTACTACTACTACTACTACTACTACTACTACTACTACTACTACTACTACGACTACTTCTACGACTACGACTGTTATTACTACTGCGATTGTTTTTCTACAGCTACTACGACTACAGCAACAGCAGCAGCAACAACAACAGCAACACATTTAATGTTGCTCGATCTTACCTGCTCGCGTGCCACTCAATACATATACCCCAAGTCCTCGATACCCGCTCTCTTCGCGTTCGACCGTAGCCCCCTTGTGGGTGTATATTTTTCTTACCTGCGACGTGCATGTCTTGTAGCCCCTGAGGCAGGGAAAGAGAGGACGGATGGAAGCAAGGGACAGGGGGGAAGGAGGAGAGTAGCAGCAGGGGGGCTAGGACCAGAAAGCACGTGGCAGAACTAAACGGGCAGATCGGACGGATTGACCCTAAGGGGCGGGTCGTGAAAGCGGGCCCAGGCGACCAGGTCGAGCAGGCGGGTTGCTGAAGCGTGCGTCCTGCACGAATCGCGGGGAAGTGTCGAGCGACAGCGCGATTCCTAAGTAAACCGCCAGAACATCCACAGCGAGAGCGTGATTCTTGAGTGTCGAGGGCGCGGCATCTGAATAAATCGACAAGAATTCCCACGCCAGAGCGCGATTCCTGCAGACATTGTGAGGAAGTCCCGCGCGAGAGCGCGATGTGGGAATAAACTGCGAGGAAATATCAGGCGGGAGCAGCTGTTGTTGTAAAGCGGAGGCCAACAACCCAATTATGAGACCCAAGATTTTCCTTGATTACAATGGGCGCGAACCCCGGGAAGGGCACCTCAATTGAAAAATGTGCCCGGGAGGGGGGGGCAACAACAATTATTATTTAGAAGTGAGAGTTCAACTACAACACTCATGTTAAGGCGGTTTGCTCTTACTTGCTCGCGTGCCACTCAACATGTATACCCTGAATCCTCGGTGCCCGCCCTCTTCATCTTCGATCGTACGTCCTGGGGTGTATATCTTCCTTACCTGCTGCGCGCATTTAGCGCAGCACCTGAAACAGGGGAAGAGGGCGGGTTGCTGACGCCTGAGTCACGCATGAACCGCGATGAGACCTCGAGCTATAGCGCGATTCCCAGGCAATTCGCGAGAAAGGTCAAAGCGAGAGCGTGACCCCTGAGTGTCGAGGGCGCGGCGTCTGAATAAATTGCGAGGAATCCTACGCGAGCGCGCGATTCCTGCATAAAGTGTGAGAAAGTCCCGCGCGAGAGCGCGATCTTGGAATACACTGTGGAGAAGTATCAAGCGGGAACCGTTGTTGCTGTTGTTGTTGTTGTTGAGCATTATTTATTCTAAAGAATAATTATTGTTGGGGCCCCTGGTGCGCGGCCCCCTCGCCGCGCCTAGGCCGCAGCCACATTTTCATTATTTTCGTGAGGAAGTCTCAGGCAAAACGTGGGTGTCCGGATCCGGTTGTTTTGTTGTCCCCCGTTTTCCCTTGCAAAAAAAAAGCTAAAGTGGACATTTCTTGTTCTAACATAACCAAACTTCAAGAATCCCTTGCAAAAAATAAGGTAAAGTGGACATTCGCGCGCGCAAGACGAAATCCTTCCAAAACCTTAGTGTTCGTAGCGATTTCAACATAAAAACCTCAAACAAACCAATGGTTTTTCAAAAAAAAAAAAAAACAAAAAAAAAAATGTCAAAATTTCATCCCGCGCGCTCTTGCGGATTCGTCGGAAACCCAACACTTTTTAAACATTTCTGTCAAATGGGCTTTTTCCGAGCAACTTGTTCACGTGCTTCGAACTTCTCCAACAACCGTTGCGCACCTGCCAGGGTCATCATCCCTGTCAAATAATACCATGCGGGACACATTCGTTTTTTCTTTGCGCGCGCACGCCGAAATCTTCAAAAACCATTGGGTTTCGTAGGAATTTTAGCACCGCGCAACATAAAATCATACGAATCGCACCGTAGGTCCTCGAAAAACATCTGTACGAATTTTCAAAATTTCTACCCGCGCGCGCTGTCCGAATCCTAAAAAACCAATGGTTTTTCACGTTACCACCAAAAACCAGTACAGGTGTCCAGTGTTGGAACAGGGGGAAAAGTCGTATACTAAGCTAGCGTCCAGAAAATGTTACCACAACAAGTCACTGTACCCATGCGCCAGTGTAGTAGCCACGGTCGTCCGCAGGCCACGAAGTGAAGTGTCCGAACGTCATAGGGCGGGAAGCTGGGTGTGGGTGGTGGCGAAGAGTCGTTTGGAAATGTGGTAGAGCTTGAACCGGCCCCCCCACAAAGTGGGGGTATTGGCGGGCGTCGTATGAAAACCCTGGCACTGGTGAGAACGGAGTGTCCCCACGTGCTAGTAAGTGTTGTTGTTGTTGTTGTTGTTGTTATTGTTCTTGTTCTTGTTATTGTTATTGTTATTGTTATTGTTGTTATTGTTGTTCTTGGTGTTATTGTTGTTGTTGTTGTTGTTGTAATTCGGCGGCCAGGGGTCCAGCTTGGTGACACCAGATTCCCCTTGTTTTAGAAGGTGCGAGCCCCAGGAGGGGCACTTCAATTGGAAAAATAGATTCCTTCCCATCGGGGAATCAACCAGTATCAGTGTTAAAAGATGAGAAGCCAACAGCAACGACAACAACAGCAGCAAACAGTTCAAGACTGTTAGCTCTGAACTGCTCGCGTGCCAGCAACACGTGTATCCCAAACCCTCGAGACCCGTCCTCTTCGTCTTCGATCGTACCCCCTTGGGGGTATATGTTTCTGACCTGCAACGTGTATTTCGTGCAGCCCCTAAGGCAGGGGAAAAGAAGACGGATGGAAGGAAAGGACAAGGGGGAGGGAGATGGAGCACGACAGAAAGTAGCAGAAGGGGGGCTAGGAACAGAAAACACGTGACAGAATCAAACGGGCAGATCGGGTGGGTAGACCCTAACAGGCGGGTCGGGAAGGCGGACCCATGCGGCCAGGTCGGGCAGGCTGGTTGCTGAAGCGTGCGTCCTGATGAACCCCGAGGAAGTGTCGAGCGACAGCACGATTCCCAAATATATCGTGCAGAAACCCACAGCGTGAGCGTGATTCTTGAGTATCGAGGACGCGGCGTCTGCACAAATCGGGAGGAAGTCCCACGCGAGCGCGCGATTCCTGCATACATTGGAAAGACTTCCCGCGCGAGAGCGCGATTTGGGAATACATTGTGAGGAAGTATCCGGCGGCAGCCGCTGTTGGTGTAAACCGGGGGCCAACGAAACAATTATGATTTCCAATAGTTTTCACGTTTTATTTATATATGTATATAAATGCGAGCTCTGGGAGAAGCATTTCCATTGAAAGAGCAAAATGCGCCCTGGCGGGGGATCAACAGTTATTCTGTTCAGTCAAGAGATTTCAACAACAACAACAACAACAACAACACCAACAACAACAAGCATGTTGATGTTGTTCGCGCTTACCTGCCCGCACGCTATCCAATACGTACATACCAAACCTTCGATACCCGCCCTTTTCGTCTTCGATTGTACCTGGTTTGGGGGTATATCGTCCCTACGTGCCGCGTGTAGTTGGCGCACCCCCTAAACAGGGCAAGAGACGACGGATGGAAGGGGGAGGGAGGAGGACGGAGCACGAAAGAGATCAGCAGGAGGGGGGCTAGGACCAGAACACACGTGGCAGAACCAGACGGGCAGATCGGGCGGGCAGAAACACAACAGGCGGGCCGGGAAGGGGGACCCAGGCGGCCAGGTCGAGCAGGCGGGTTGCCGAAGCGTAAGTCTCAGAGATCCGATGTCTTGAGTTTGTCCATACGTGGTCCCCAGAGGTCCCGACCCCTTCCCCAGGACCGGTTTTCATCCTCAGCCGTGTTTTTCGCGGTCCCGGGGCCCCGCGAGGGTCCCTAGAGGCCGAAAAGGGCGAAAAAAATCCGTCTCGATTTTTTCTCAATGCGCTAGATCTCCAGGGTCTGAATCCCGCGCCGCCGATGAGCCCCGCCGCCCTCCTCCTCCTCCTCCTCCTCCTCCTCCTCCTCCTCCTCCTCCTCCTCCTCCTCCTCCTCCTCCCTCCTCTCCTCCTCCTCCTCCTCCTCCTCCTCCTCCTCCTCCTCCTCCTCCTCCTCCTCCTCCTCCTCCTCTCCTCCTCCTCCTCCTCCTCCTCCTCCTCCTCCTCCCTCCTCCTCCTCCTCCTCCTCCTCCTCCTCCTCCTCCTCCTCCCTCCTCCTCCTCCTCCTCCTCCTCCTCCTCCCCTCCTCGAAAAACGAGGACCGCCGCGTCCCCGGCGGAGCTGCTGCCCCGGCTGCGGGAGCACGCGCAGGCCCCGGCGCCGCGGCCCGACGCCTCCCCGCGGCCCGCGTGCCCGCCCGCCGCGCCGCCGCCCACGCCGCGGACCCGCCGGGCACGCGCCAACGGTCATGGCGGGCCTGTCCCCGTACAGGGGGATGTTCGACGAAAAATTAAAAAGGTACCCCAAAAAGAAGCAAAAATAGCCCAAAAATAGTCCATGGTACGATGCCCGACAGCAGTTCCTCTTCATTTTGAACAGGACTCGCTGTCCGCGCCGCCGCGGACGTTGATCTTTGAAGGCGGAAAGCCGCCTGCCCAACAGCGGCAGCTGTCGGTCTTGGACAACACTGGCTGTTGCGCATTGTGCCCGTTGTTTCCGTAATTACCCATGTCGGGCGTCCAAACGATAGGGTGGGCCCGGGGTGTCTTGAAGAAGTTCGTTCTGGACTTCGAGGTGGATTTCGTGCGGATTTTCTGTAGCCACGAATGAAGACGAACAAGAAGCCACGCGAAATTCGTTTCGTTTTTCGCTCGCCGCCTCGGGCAAAAATCCACGCAGGAATCCACAGAAATCTGCTGCAGCACGTCTGTAAAGCCGGTGCAATGAAAACGGGGGAGGCGTACGACCCGAGTAAGCTCAAGTCGGGTTTGTCCCTCTACAGGAGGAACATGCAAAAGTTATCAAAAAGAAATCGAGGATGAAACACGGCATAAACATTAACTTTTGGCGCTCCTGGCGGATTTCTTGGATCCGCGCTGGGCACCCCTGGGCGGCGCCCCTGGCGCGCGGAGCGCGCCAGGGAGGGGTTGTCCAGTGCGGATCCAAGAAATCCGCGCGAAGCGCCAAAAGTTTATGTTTATGCCGTTTTTCTTCTTCTAAAATAGTCTGGGTACTATGTTTGAGTATTTTCTGGATATGTTTAGGGTATCTTTCTTGTTTCGTCCGAAATCCGCCTGTAGGGAGACATGCCCGACCTAAGAGTAAGCCCGAACTTGGGAACTTGCGTCGGATCTCCAGGAGAGTGGCGGCGAACCCCTTCGATCTCGGTCGAGTCGCTGACCGTCCGGGACCGTTCGAGCCGTGCTTCCCCAGACATCCGCCGTCGTGGCGTTTTCGCAGCGTGGCCCCCCAGAGGTCTGGATTCCTTCCTGGGAGCAGGCCTTTCATCCCGGGTCGCTTCCTGGGGGTCCCGGGGGCCCCGTGAGGGCCCCTGGATGCCGAGAGATGCCGAAGAGCCTCGGGTCGTGATGCCTCCACGGCGCGAGAAGGGCGGGGGCTGCACAACTTGGTCGGGGAAGCGCAAGACTCGAGTGCGGCGGAACTCGGGCTTGCCGACGCTTCTGGACGAGCGCGTCCTGGATTCTGACGGCCCAGTGTTCGTGGGACGTGTGCAGCGGGAGCTCGCGTCAAATTTCAGACGGGGTCTCGTCGTTTGCATGCTGGCCCCCATCAGGCCAACACGAGTCCCCCGCAGCCGTGTCGTACGTCTCTCCCAGAAAAGTGGGGTGACCTCTGGTGAACGGCTTTTACAAACAACCCCTAACGCCATCCTTGACCTTCCAAAGTGCTACAAAGTAGCCCTCTAGAGCTATGAACCTATCTGGATTGCTCAAAGCCTCGACAGGCAATCGGGTGTCAAGGTCCTGATGCTATTTTGTAAGCCCTCCTGGAAGGTCAGGGATGTGTTCCCTTTTTTCTGGCCAACGACTCGGGAAGAAAAGCCGGTCCCGGGGAATGGGTCGAGACCTTTGGTCGGGAGCCTTGAGACGGGGGTCAATGCAAACGGGAGTCAGCCAGAGCGCCCGATCTTGCAGGATCCTGCAGGGCCAGGGTCGCATTGACCTGGGCTTGGGCGCAGGACCCTGCATGATTTTGCAGGATCTTTCGCATTGAACCGGCAGGATCTTGCAGGATTCTGCAAGGCCTGACTGACCAGGGTCTGGATTGACCCGGGTCAGAAGATCCCCGATTTGGGGGTCGACGTCACGAAAAAAACAGGACGTCGGAGATTTGGGAGGAGTGCCTCTTCCGCTGGGGTGACCTCTGGTGCGCGGCTTTCGCGAGCCCCTTGATTATCAACTAACGTTAAGTCGGGCCTGTCCCTCTACAGGAGGAATATTCAAAAATAGTACAAAAATAATATTGGGACGATGTTTTTAGTAATTTTAGGCATGTTGTGAACTTTGTGTGCCTACATTCTCGTGTAAAAGTTTATAACAAAAGTGGCACAGACATGGAAGCCGAAAACATGTTGAATCAGACCAGGCGGAGCCCGTCGCATCAAGTGACATCCGTCAATGTTACGGAACACATATCGCCTGCATTGCGCGTTGCATGTTAGCCATCCGATTGGTGGGAACGAAACCGCAAGGCTGAACGTATAAACGCCCACGCCAGCGGCCATGTGAAGGAGCAACTTGGAAGAGCACCCGGGCATTACATGGCGTCCGCCCCAAGGATGCCTCTGGGCGCGCAAGCCAAAGTGTGGCATATCAATGACCTGGCCCATGGTGCACGCATGCGCACGCTGCCAACATTGAAAGGCGAATATAACTTAATGATCCTCTTTGGGCGTTGCTGTCTGCAGATCATTCACGATGATCGTTTCGTTGATTTGGTTAGAACTTTTCTTACGGCTGTGCATTCGTCCCAAATCCCCCTGTAGGGGGACACGCCCGACTTAACGCTAACGAAAATGTCTAGTAACGCTCTGGGGTTCTCTGGACGAGTCGGTTGCGACGAAATCTGACCTCTGGTCGTGAGTTCCGGTGACGAACGACACGTGGGCGGCCTCGAAGCCCTCGCTTCGACCCCGACGCTCCGTCTCTTCGTTGCCGCAGTTCGACCCCCCTTGGTCGCGACCGACATTCGGCGCGCCCGAAATCTGCTACAGTATGTTTCCGGTCGCGGATGATCTGGCCCTTGGCATCCTCGCGTCGTGTTGAGTCGGGCTGGTTCCTCTACGATGTTGCGATTATTGTATGACCTTTTCGGGGGTACTTGTTTGATTGGTTGTTCATCCAAAATCCCCCTGTAGGGGGACATGCCCGACCTCAACGTCGTGGGCGAAAATATCAAAATGATGTCAGATATTCGAACGTTGTCGGCTTCCGGGGGGCCCTCCACCAAGGCCCCAGGGCAGTCAGAGAAATAGACTTAAGTCGGGCCTGTCCCTCTACATGGGGAATATTCAAAAATTGTCACACCAAAAATCTGGAAACGATTGTTTGACCACTTTTGGCCATTTCGGAATATCTCGTGCGTGGTCTTAATTTTTCGTCCAAAATCCGCCTGTAGGGGGACCAGCCCGACCTAAAACTAGACTTAGGATGAAAGGTACCCAGTGAAGGGGCCGAGACCTGTGAACGAACAAAAAACCCAAGCATTTGGTGTTCGGCAGTTCTCGGCGCTTCCAGGGGCCCTCACCCGGCCCAGGGGCCGTCAGATAACGACTCAGAGGAGGAACAGGCACCCATACCTCTACCCTTTTGCTCGTTTTCCCCCTTTGGGCCTCCTCGGAGGCCCCCGTCGCCACCGCTGGATTCGCTTCGAAATCCTGGTCATAACGCACCCGGAGAGAGGTCCGGGGAGTAGCGGTATCCGTGCCCTTTCGTTCCCCCAGACTCGGGACGAAGAGCCGGTCCCCAGGGAGAGCCGCGCTGTGCCCCCCCCGTCCCCAGGGAAAAGCAGCGCCAGCTGCTTGGATCAGGCGGTCGTGGACACGGATAAGGCGGGGGCGTGGATTGGCGACGAGTCCCGCTTCCATGGGAAATCGCGGGCTTCCGCCGCCGAGCGAGGCGGCACCGGCCGCATTTTGGGGAGGGCACCCCGTAGATCCAACGTCGTGATTTTTTCAATACGGGGTCCCCGGAAGTCTCGACCCCTTCCCGGGGACTGGTTTTTCATCATGAGTCGTTTGTTGACGGTCCTAGGGCCTGGCGAGGGCCCCTAGAGGCTTAAAATTGAGAAAAGCCTCCGTCTTGATTTTTTCAATACGTTGGATCTCTGGGACTTTCCCCGATCCATGGATTGGGCGACCGCGCGCCAAGTCCACGGGTCGCTAAATCCACGCCTGCGCGCCCCCGACTGGAGAGGGGGCGCGGCCGAGGGAGGCACGCGGCGAGGGCCCGCCGCTGCCCCAGGCATGCGGCGCCTTGAGGTCTGTCTTAGGTCGGGCGTGCCCCCCATACAGGCGCATGTGGGGCGAAAAATTAAAAGTATTCCAAAAATACCCAAACTATGTCCAAGAATATAGAAAAATCGCCCCCACACTATGTTTTGACAATGTTTGAAAATTCGTCCTGTAGAGGGACACGCCCGACTGAAGGTTCGTCAAGGCAGGGCCCCAGGAAGTCCCGACCCGTTCCCCTGGGGCTTCTTCTTCATCTGGGAAAACGTAAGACTCGAGTAAGCCGGAACTCGGGTTTGCCGATTTTTGTTTTTGACGAGCGCGTCCTGGATGTTGACGGTCCCGTTATCGTGGGTTGTCTGCAGCGGGAGCCCGCCGCGTCAAGTTTCAGATTGGGTCTCGTCCTGTTTATGATGGCCCCCGTCATGCCAGCCCGAGTCCCCCGTGCCCGAGTCTCACGTCTCCCCGATGCACCTCCACCCCCAGCCGCTCTGTGACTGGTCCCCGGGTGCCCTGGCAGAGGCCCCCGCAGGCCCACAGGGCGGCCGAAGCGAAGGCCTCCCGCGGCGATCGTGCCCGCGGCGCGGAGCACGCCCGGGGGCCGCGTCGCCCGCGGCCGTGGCCAGCAGGCCGCGCGCCAGAGGCCAGGCTCTCTCGGCCGCGCGCAGGCGGGAACGGAGGGGGGCGGGAAGGCCTCGCAGGAGGAGGTTGCTTCTTGAAAGGCGCGGGCCCTGTCCACCACGGATGTCGGGCCCGCGCTTCCCGAGAGGAGCAGCCTGCTGTTGAGCAGCCTGCCCCCGTCCCCCCAATACCCCCCTGGTGCGCGCCGCCAGTTCTTGCCCAGATCGTCGGATACGGATCCTCTTCGGTCGCGATCGGTAGCGACCGATCGGCAATCCAAATCGGTCGCGATCGATCCCGACCGATTCCAAGATCGGTCGCGACCAGCCGC